CATAACACTTGCAACTTTCAATGTTGAGCTGTCTGGACGCGACCGTACTTTTTTTCGCTTTTTTATGTACGACATTCCATCGACTGTTGTAGGCATCGCCTAGCGACAGAGCATAATCTAATTGGTACATAAAAACTTTGCAATTCGATTGGCGAGCTTTTGCTTGTAGATTCATCAGAGGTTCGGCTTATACAGCTGTCGTATACTCAACGTGATTCATTTGTCTTTGCAAAAAACCAGTAGAAATTCTTTCAGTCCCACAATTTCCTCTTTGTACAGGTAATTTGAGAAGTACAAATGTGCTTTTTCGGCGTCATCATTCCTTGCTATCCTTCTCTATTATGATTGAAGATGCGCCACATTTTGTAGTACTTTTTTCTCTATTCTTCCGTTTTTTCCCTGCGTTTTGCAGAGATGCGTTCTGACAACAACCATTTGTTCAGTTTTTTTTAATGGCAAATAACTGTGCGCCTTGCAGAAGGTTTTTTTCCTCAAAGTTCAGTTGGTTGGAAATTCAAAGTACAAATCAGCATTGCAGAAAGCCCAAAACCCAGCCAGAAAAGGAGATTAACTGTAAGGAATTCCCTTGCGGATTGCGTTTGCATCACGACAAAAATCTTTTTAAAAAAATCTTCTTTCTTTTCGAAATATATGGCGGTCATTCTATCGGTGCCTTCTAATTTAAATAACTTTGTCGAGCCCACTATATTAGGCAAGCCGAAAGTTTAGTTTGCGCAACTTCAGATAGACTCAGAATTTTCATTTTACTTCGTAAGAATATCCTCAATCAGAACCACTATTCTCCCCCAGCTATTTTTGACTTTAGCGTTCTGAATAAAGGACTCACGAATATAAACCCTGGATAATAATATTAAGCTTATTTGTGAATTATTTATAGGTATAATCACCATTTTCATACTTATTGTTGGCTTCCTGCGTTCGGGCGAAAATGAAGTAAGAACGCATTGTAGCCACTCCAGCAGTGCTTTGCGCTGATTCATTGTAGTGATCAGCCGCTGACCACGCAGGCTGAATATCAATATGCATATTTTCACGAGTTTTGCATATTTTTCCAATATATATATACATCTTATATATGTATACACAGTATGAGATCGACGTATGTATGTGTGTATGAATGTGTATGTATGTGCGTATATGTGTATGTATGTGTGCATTGTTTATCTGTCCATGTGTGTGTGAGTGTGCGTTCGTGTGTGTGTGGTTTTGTATGGAATACTAATTTTTGTTTCTAAAGCGATCAGATTAAACTTTCACGCACACACTTTGGGCAACGCGTGTAACGTAAAACACTTCGGAAAAGTATCGATTGTCAATTCTTGCATTTTGTTCTATATTGCTGGGATCTGGCACGCCTAGTTAAGTGCGTCCCAATCTGGGTAAGTTGATATGCTGGACGGATATGATAACCACTCAAATATTTATCGATTGGCTCTCCTGGTTTAATGTTTTTTGCAACTTTAGCTCAAAGACACTGGGGACTGGCGACGGCAATTGACATGCTGTTTAGAATGATGACCATTCAAAGGTTTATCCATCGATTCTATTGATTTAT